AAAAAAAAAAAAAAAAATGTTGATGCTATTATACCTGTGTTCTTTTTTTTAAATGGTAAGGAAGTTATGAAAGAGAAAGGTAAATGAAACTTGAAGTCCAGAAGAAAAACAAGATGAAAACAGCTAGGTAAACCATTTGAGATGAAAAATGTGATATACTAATAAACAGATCATAGAATTAAAAAATCAGGAGTTTGTTTCATGGGGGATAAACTAACCAAGCAGAGCTTTTCTTCTATAAGAAATGCAAAACTGTCTGGAGACACAGGGTAGAATAACTTCATAGGCAATAGTTAATACTTGTTTGTTAACTGGACTATATATTAAAACAAACAAGTTAAAAAACAAAGTGCAACAATATTCATACAATCAAAGGTACTAAGCTAAAATTAGATATTTTATAGTAATGAAATTATGTAAATTTTTAAAATGGCAAATTTTTCATTACATCAAAATCAAACACTGGGGCTGGGGTTATAGCTCAGTGGTAGAGCACTTGCCTAGCACATGTGAGGCACTGGGTTCAATCCTCAGCACCACATAGAAATAAATAAATAAAGGTACCGTGTGTATCTACAACATTTTTTTTAATTTTTTTTAAATCAAACACTAAATCATGAACATATAAGAATTGAGATCTAATATGAATAGCCTTTATCTGAAATGTTTGAGACCTGAAGTGTTTTAGACTTTGGATTATTTAATGTTTGCATATACATAATGAGATAACTTGGGAATGAGACCTAAATCTAAACATAAAATTCATTCATTTCATATACACCTTTATAAACACACCCTGTGTATAACTTTACACAATATTTTTAGCACACCTATGTTTTGACTTCAACCTATTGCAGGAGGTCGGATATGGAATTTTCCACTTGTAGTAGCATCATCTCTGGGCTCAAAAAGTTTCACATTTTGGAGCATTTTGGATTTCAGATTTTCAGATCAGAGAAATTCAATCTGAATCATTTTGGGACTAGAAACAATTAAAATAATTTAATTAAAATAATATCCATTCAAGCCTTTACTTATAAGTCCTACAGAACTAAAAACACAGTTACCAATCTGATAATCATTAAGCTTAGCCAAAAACTTCGAAATTACAAACTAGGGTCCTAGAGCATAGCATCAGAAATCTAGATGACAGACTCTAGAAGCGAAGAATCAAAGAAACTGCTAGCTTACTATTAACAGAATACAACTTTTATGACTATTTAACATATAGGTGCTCTAATACCCAACTTGTTAAATAAGTGATTTCTATAACACTTTGATTATTACTCTGAACCATCTGGCCCAGCTAAACACTGCAAGGAACACTGCTCTTAGTAGGCAAAAGACATGCCTCTTTGAAGCAAATGAATATAAAACTATCCCAGTATCTTTTTTAATGTTTTTAAATTAAACCAAAATTTACCTCCAAATTCTTACACTATTTCAATCAAAGTTTGGGGTGACTATAAGCAAAAGTCATACACATGTGCATTTCCATAAACCAAAGACTGAAGAGTTTGTCACATTTTATTATAATTGCAAGTTAAAGAGTATTCTATCTTTAAGCTCTGTGTATCACAATTTTACTTAAATTAGCTACTTATTTTTCTTATCCAACCTAAATGTATGGTTAGAAAATAACTAGTTGGAAAGTAATTACAACAGACTTTCCCAACTTCTATAATTTGAAGTTGTAACAATTAATTCTATTATTAGTAAATTCATCTTAAAACTTACAATTTAGTGTGACTTTTTTTTCAATTTAACATTGCTTTTAAAATCAACATCAAATTTAAATATTCAATAATTTAATCCATTATGTTGCATCATTTTATATATAAGACACCTATTAAAAGAAGTTGAGCAATTTTATAGGTGTCTTATAAATTCTTACAGGTTTTTGTGTGCGGCATATATACAGGACAATGGGGCAAAATGGATTAATGATAAAATCTTTTCAAACCCCTCAGACTAACTTATTAATTCACAAAAACAAATCCAATCTTCAAATTCACTAAGGAGAAAAAAAAATCTAAAACCCTGTGGACAAATAAAAAAGAACCTGGTGCTTGGTAGCCAAATGATATTAAAGAAGATGATCCAAACTCTCGACAATAATTTAGTACTGTTTCAAGCATAAAAACAAGATAACCTGTACTATGAAACATAAATATGCATTTAAAAAAAACAAAGACCTATTAAATAAATATTCATTACCTATTTCTCCTAATATCCAAAGTTTCCTCCTAAGTCATTTCTTGAAAGAGCAAACATTAATATTTAGAGAACATTGATCAAATCAGTAAAAATACCAACAGTCATGCACTTTTTCAAATTAAACACCATAATTCTTCCCATTAAAAACAAAACAGAAAAAAAAAGGACAAATCCCAATCTAGTCCTGTGATTTTGATAACTAATCACTACCGCAACTCTAAAGTAGTTTTTTCAATAATTTACAAATATTCTGCAATTTCAGAAATGCTCTAAGTATTGTATTAAACTCCATTAAAAATTTGATATATTTTAGAATAAAACAATATATTCAAATGCATGGTAATCCAAATTTTAACACACCTTAATTATGAAGACTAATTCATCATGTTACCAAGTATTTGGTGCCCCTAAAGATCTTCTCCTATTTTAGTGAATTAAAAAAAAATTTTAAAAAAACAAAAAACTAAAATTACAAAGTGAGTTATCGTAAAAAGTTTGCAAATAAAAATTTGGAACTACAACCATGTAAAACAGAATTTGGGGACTGGTACACAACCAAAATAAAATATAAAAATAAACTGCAATTGTTACCCATAGCTCTATAGTTCAAATTTCTGCATTTACCGTATAGAAATTTTTCTCAGTGACAAGTTTTAAAGTCTTACATATTAGAGTTCTGCATAAGAACACTTAGATTTGAGTAAAAGTCCTATTCAATCAATTCTACATCTATATTCTATGCTCTGACAGGTCTATCCCTGTCAGAAAATTAACCAACTGCATTTAAAAAAAAAAAAAAATGAAAGCAAAGAAAATGCAAAGTCCAAGCAATCTGCTTTCTAACTTGAGATATTCTACAAAAAATACAGTTGGAGAATCCAATGGAGAAACCACTTTAGTTTGGGCCCTCTTTGCATTCCCTAAACACAGGAAGCTGAATATGCCCGCCATTATAAGGCGGCTGCCTTATAATAAATGTCATTTAACATAATAAGGCATATGTTAATAACACTGTCAAGTGAAATGAGGACAGATTTTAATGCTAGAGAGAGAATATATAAAACTTCCACACCTTTTGACAACAGTTACAGAATTTTATACATATTCTTTCCATCACAGTAATACATCTGATTAAAGGCAAAGATTGAGTTTGTCACAATAACATTGTTTGTGCACTTTTGTACCTCAAACAAGAGCAGAATACAATAAAATAAACATATAAATACTGTTATACAAAGACAGTATGACAAGTTCCATAGCCAACCAAATCTAAAATGTTAAAAAGTCAGCTTTTGTGGAATACCTGAGTGATTCAGGGCTGTCCCCTACTTTTTTTAGATTAAAAATACAGCCCATGAGATTATGTAAAAACAGAAAATGTGAAAGGGGCCACTTTATCTTTCTCCCAACTATTTCAAAGGGTAAGTGGTGGGGGAGAGAAGAGTAAGTACTAAGGAAAAATGTCACAAAACTATAAAGTATTTTAACTATTAAAATACTTTGAGCTGGGTATGGTGGCACATGCCTATAATTCCAGTGGCTGAGGCACACGAGGATAACAAGTTCAAAGTCAGCCTCGGCAAAAGCAAAATACTAAGTAACTTAGTAAGACCCTGTCTCTAAATAAAATACAAAATAGGGGTGGGGACATGGCTCAGTGATTGAGTGCCCCTGAGTTTAATCCAGGCACTCCCCCACAAAAAAAAAAAAAAAAAAAAACTTTGAAACTATATACAAAAGCATCTAATTCACATTGAGTACTCAATAAATATTAGTAGAACATAAACTTATATAGGCAAGGTTAATCAAAATTTGTCAGGTTACCTTCATCTTATTAATGTCTAACACATTATAGCACCATTAGTTGCTGTTTTTAAATAGACTTTTTAAATTCTGAGCTATATCATTAAACAAAACAAGAACCACATTTTGGTATTATTTTTTAAAAAAATCATTGTTTTCATTAGCATTCATTTGTTTTAGCATCAAAGAAAATCCTGATCTGTATGCTTTCTGTGTCAGTCATCTCCAAATGACTATCAAACATAACTAATTATCAAGTTCCCCCTATTAACATCATGATAAAAATTGTAGAAATGGAAATTTTTTGTAAAATTATACAGTAATAAGCACCACCCATCTATCTGAAAAACCTGCTCCTCGATCCATCATATTTGAATGATCTAATGGCTAAAGAGCTTAAAACTTAAAAATTACATTCATTCAAGTTACAGTATTCAGGAGACAATATGGACTATAAATTGTACACTTTGAAAAACATAAATTCTGATCCAAATTCACCCTGTTAGTTTTGAAATAAGGGAGTATAAAAAGCTAATTGATAAAATAAGTAGAAGGAAGACCAGTAGAGAAGAGAAAGGAGAAGAGAAGATAAGCAGGAAGGGAAAGAGTAAGTATTGGGGACTGAAATGGAATATATATGAATATGTCAAAATGCAACTCAATATTATGTATAACTACAATGTACTAATGAAAACATTTTTTAAAGCTAATTCATAGCTATGATTCTCTTAATTTTAAAAAAGGGTACTCAACAAGATACAAATACTTCTGTATTTGTTTACACACGTAAGGAAGAAAAGACCATGAATTGGGAAGACTAATCTTGAATATTTTTCACTCTCTTGAAATCTGAATTTACAAAATGAGCATACTATGCCTTTTTAAACTGTACTGCATAACTGCTGAACTTAATCTCTGTAATCAAACTGCTTAAGTATAAACCCTTGCCTTACCAAATACTACTAACTGGGTTATCTTCACATGTCTGTTTCCTCCTCTGCAAATTTGGAATAAAAACAATATTACATCACTGAGTTGTGAGGATTAAATTACAAGTTTTCACAGTAAACTTTTTTTAAAAAATGAGAATTGGACTGACATATATGGGCTCAATTAATGCTATTTGCATTATATCTTTATTTCCCTGCAGACTACTCGCTAAAGATTAAGGAAAATATTCCATGAAAATGTCTTAACACTGTGCCTAGAATTAGAAGGGTATCATCCTTCACAATCCATATTCAGAAAATCCTTACCTCCATTATTTTTTACTCCCTTTGGTCTTAATATTTAAGCAGAAGATCTGACACTTATGACCCACCTCTAACAGAGTCTATAAGTTACAATATCAACTGTTAATGGACTCAAGACATCAAGAGATACAATGTGTCCACAGTGTTGATTTCACTGATATTTTATAACTATTTTCAATTGACTAAAGGATATGTTTGGTTATTTTTATTTCACCGTCCTGTCATAACAAGATTGCCTTAAAAACCTCAAATTATAGGCCTTTAATATAATTCCCAGGTTACACATTCAATAAGACTTTTAAGTGAGGACTAATCAACACTGGAGGTGGTAGACTAAGAGTAACTAGAGCACTGGTCTGGTCAGCATTCTAGGTGGTGAGGTAAGAGTAGATTCTAGAGGAGTGGACGTCATCACTTTGCTAAGCAAAGCCACAGAAAAAAAAGATAGAGCAACTCTAGAGCCATAAAAGTCAAAAATTTGTGGTTTTGATGAGACAAAAAGGTAAATGGTTCTCTCTATGCTTCCAATCCTTTAATCAATTATCCAATGTGAAAGAAAAAAAATGTTAAAAATGGTTGTATGCATAGCATTTAAAAGGAAATACCGTTAATTCCCACTTTGGAACTCTAGAGGGCACCAGAAATATGCCCTCCTTAGCACCACCCCTCCTCCCCGGTAACGTGAGCAGCTGCAGAAGCCCGTCGTCTGGTTGCTGAGGTTGGTATTGCAGCAGCAGGAGCGATGTCTGCAGCGGTGGAAACAGCAGCGCCCACTCCCAACTGCCTCACCAACCATTACCCGGGGTTCGCCCCGAGGGCAGCTTCCACCCAAGGGAAAGTTCCTCCCCTCAAAACAACCTGGAGGGCCAAGTTCCAAACTGAACCCCTACAACCTGACAATGTCCTCCATAAAGAGCAACACATTAGGGGCAAAGGACTCACAATCAGGGTGTTTTCTTTCTCACTTTCTGCCAAAGATGCACCAAACAGGGTTGAAGGCAATTTCTGGTCCTGGGATTAAAAAAAGAAGAAGAAAAAAGAAAAATTGATCAAGATCAGCTAACCTGGTGGGAGCACCAAGGCTTTTCTTCCAGAGGAAGGGAATGCGAGGTCAAGGAGGTTTGGCCCTTCTATTATTACCCAAAACCCGGGCACAACAGCCCCCTCTTACCAAGTGGAGCAAAATAACTAAAAATATGTATTTGGGGCCAAAACCCAGGTGAGAAGCAAAATCTGGAAAGGAGGGGGCCTAAGGGCATCAAGCATGCTACTGGGAAGGAAGGGGGGGAAGGGCAAACATTGCCCCGACGCCAGCAAGGGATTTGTATTCCCTCCTAAATTTGCCCACCTAGCGTCATCCCC